CATTTATTGCTCATCTTGGAAAGACAACAGCAAAGAGCATCCAAAACTATCTTTGATTAACATAATCCGAGGGTAATGAATATGGATATTGTCAATAGTCACTTAGAAGCATGTTTTCTCGTACATTTTGTTCTCTCCAGTAAATTTCCAATCAAGAAAGAAAATGCCCCAAGTCCCTGTTTGCATCAATAAAGCAAACACTCAGAGGAATTACACAGAGGGAATAGAGCCAGGAAGGAGCGCTCACCGCCCTCAACCTGTGTTCCAATTGGTTCTCTATGTTTTCACCACGCTTCTGATTACCTATCAAATAAAGCCATCACCCCCCCTAACAAGCCTGATTCATTTCTCAGCATCCTTGTGACAGTTTCTGATGAAGGCTGATCAGACAAGTATCCCAGAGGGTGTTTCCAGACCACACAGCATCTGTAGTCACTGTTTGGAAGAGACAGCTGCCTTGACGCCCAGCTACCTGTCCAAAAAGAGAAATAGGAGGTACCTGTCAAACTTGTGGCCCCATGTGGGAAATGACAATGTATTAGGGTTCTCCAGAGAAACAGAACTAATAGGACATCTACAGATACATATGAAGATCCGGATTAATTATAGGAATTGGCTCCCATGTTCTGGAGGCCAAGAAGTCCCATAGGCTGTCTTCTAGTTGGAGACCCAGGTGTAATGAAATCTGAGTCTGAAGGCCCAAGAGTCAGGGTGGAGGGGCCAATTGTATAAATCCCAGTCTGTGTCCAAAAGCTCAAGAACCAGGCGCACCAATGTGCGAGAATCGAAGATGGGTGTCAGCTCCAGCAAAGACAGTGAATTCACCGTTGCTCTCCCTTTCTGTTCTATTCGGGCCCTCCAGGGATCAGAAGACACCCACCCACGTAAGGGAGGATGATCTTCTTTCCTCTACAGATTCAAATGCTAATCTCCTCCAGAAACACCCTCACAGACACACCCAGAAATAATGCTTCACCAGCTCTCTGGGCATCCCTTAGCCCAGTCAAGTTAACACATAAAATTAATTATCACAGGAAATTATCACAGCGTTTTTCCACACCCAGCACTTTAGTCTTCCCTGGTGGCATGTGGACCCAACTGCGCCTTGCTAGAACTATCATTAAAGAATCCCTATCTCTAGGCCACACCTCAAGCCAATTAAACTGGAATTTCTGGGGTGGGGGCCAGGCAGCAGTGTTTCTGGAAGAACCCTGGGCAATTTTAGTGTGCGGTCAAGATGGAGAACCACTGCAAACGGGTCAGGAGATCAGAAAACCCTGTGATCTTCCCTCAGAAAGCCGACATTAAGGCCGCTTGCATTTACCACTGCCCTGCCCTGACACGGGCCCACTCTCCTCATTTCTGACACAGGTGACCTGTGAGGCTCTCCCTGGCCCTCCTGACAGTTGTCCCCCTCCCCCCTGTGTCCCCTATCCTCGTGCACAGGCTGCTGTGTAACTGCTCTGGCAATGGTTCTCTGTTGGTTTGTCGTCTCCTCAGCGGCGGGGCCACACCTCATGCACCTTTCTACTCCATCCTGGAACTAACTCATCATTAGGACATGATTCTGCGGTTAACTTCATGGCAGCTAAAATGAGCTTTTTAAAACGTGAATCATACCATGTCACTCACTGTAATAAAACCCTCCAATGGCTTCTCACTGTGCTCAGAGAGACTCAAGCCCTGTCTTGGCTTGCAAGCCTTCTCAGGCTGACCCCGAGCACTTCAGGCAGGAGGGTCAGGAGGAAGGACATGAGCTCGCAAGCAGGTGTCCCAGAGCCAAGCGCTGGCGCTGTGGGCTCCTTGACTCTGGAGCAGTTACTGGACCTCTCCTGGCCTCATCTCTAAAGGCTGATCTGTTGTGAGGATTAGATTAGCTGGCACACGTAAAGCTCTGACAGGCACTGGAGTCCTCCTCCTCACCCCTTCCCAGCTTCATTCAGTCCCAGGAACCGGTCGCACCCGCTCTCCCATTGGGACCTCTGTGCAGGAACGCTCTCTCCTGACACCTGGCATGACTGACTCCCGGTCACTCGGGGCCAATGCCAATGCCATGGCCTCACAGACCCTCTCTCACCCTTCAGCACCCCATTCTGTAGCCTTCGTGACCGGTGTTAGTTTGCTAAGGCTGCTATAACAAAGCAGTATTGTCTCCCAGTGCCAGAGGCTGGAAGTCTGTGATGAAGGTGCAGCACGGTTGGTTCCATCTGTGAGGAAGATGTGTGCTCCGTGGCTCTCTCCCAGTTTCTGGTGGTTTGCCGGCAATCCTTGGTGTTCCTTGGCCTTTAGATGCATCACCCTGGCCTCTGCTTTCATCTTCACACTTCATTCTATCTGTGTCCAAATGTCCTCTTTTTATAAGGACACCGGTCGTATTAGATTAAGTGCCCACCTTATTCCAGAAGACCTCATCTTAACTAATTACATCTGTAACAACTATTTCCAAATGAGGGCACATTCTGAGACACTGGGGATTAAGACTTCAACATACGAATTTGGGGGGTGGACAAAATTCAACATCTAACATACCCCTCATCCCTCCCTGGAATGATCAGGTTTTATTTATCATCCTGTGTATTGTATTATATTCTTTCTTCACTGAACATCATTGTTTATGTTGTCTGATTTTTCTGCAGTAGACACAGTATGGCTTTATAATAAGAAAAACAATAAAAGATAAGCTTTTTTAAAGATTTTATTTATTTATTTGACAGAGAGAGAGAGTACAAGCAGGGGGAGCGGCAGGTAAAGGCAGAGGGAGAGGGAGAAGGAGGCTCCCCCTGAGCAGGGAGCCCGATGTGGGGCTCGATCCCAGGACCCTGGGATCATGACCTGAGCCAAAGGCAGACATTTAACTGACTGAGCCACCCAGTCAGTGGTGGCTTTTAAGGAAAAAAGCAAAACCAAACCTTATTCCTTGCATTGTGATTTAGGTGTTCATCATCTCCCATTCTAGACTGAAACCTCCATGCAAGCAGGTAACATGTCCTTGCACCCCCAAGCCTAAGACCATGCCTGGTACATAACAGATGCTCAGTATATGCTGGCTGAGTTGAAATTAAATAGATATGTACATTAATTTCTCACAAGAGCTCAAGAGCTCAAGCAAAGCAATTGTTCTTGCAGCCTCCCTGGTATATATGTGACACATTTTCTCAATCTAGAAATCTTTAAAAAAAAGAAAAGGAAAAAGACTGCTGACACTCTAGGCTTTTCAATAACTCTGCCATATACAATGGCACTATCCACCTGTACTGATATTTAAGGTGTTGTCGAGAAATAAAACACAGCATGAAGCAACACTGTCAAATCTAGGAGGAAATTAAACCAGTAGGTCCATCACCCAACCCCTGTGAACCAAACTGCCTCATTTCGCCTGATTCTTCTAATTAGGTTGTGTTTGCAAAGCCTTTAGAAGCACCCAAGTGTTATATTAAGTGCTAAGTAGTATTAATTAATAATATTTGTAGATTACATGGGCTGGTACTTCTTGTAAATGTAAACGTCCTAGGCTTGTCAGCACAGTAGTTTGAATCAACGTTCAGCTGTACTTTAGAAGGTCTTTATAGAATTGTATAAAGCTTCTGGTTTCCAAAGAAAGTAGCTTCATATAATCTTGGCATTCTCTAACTTGTCAAAACTTTGGAAATCGTCTAATATAATAGTTCTCAGCTCTATTAAGCCCAACGCCTCTTTTCTGTAATAAAGGTTTTATTAGATCCTGAAGCAAAATGCATGAATAACCTACCTGTATATAACATACTTGAGTATGTAAACACTCAGGTGAGCACACAGGGAGCTGTCAGATGCTTTCACTGTATAAAGAATCACCGTCAGTGTGCTGGTTCCAAATGGCAGGCGCTCGTAGGTGTGCTGCATGGGAGATGCTGTACCATGGGTGGCGTTGAAAGGGGACCTTGAGTTTCTGAAGCAGTGAAAAATTCCTTTTTGGTTCCAAACTAAAGAATTTACAGTCATCCTTCCATTTACTCTATAGTTGCATTCCTGGAAAAGTCGATGTACTTGTATATTAAAACCATCCCTGAAAATCCCATGTGTTTATACATAAAACAATTAGGTTTTAGGTTTAGATCATCATAAGAAGAATTTTCATCTACAGGAATGCCTGTGAGATCACTGAAAAATGGATGACACCATCCCACCCAGTTAGCATCTCTGGGGCTCACCCACCAAATGCCAGGAACACTTCCTCTTAATCTTTGAGAGCAAAAAAACACTCAAGACACTTTTCATTTTATTTAAGATCAAAGGTCCAAAACAACTCCATGGGGTGGGATTGTTCTTCTTAAAAGTCATAAATCTAATTTTGCATCTTTGTATTTAAAAAATGAGGGTGTTGTGTCCCCAAAGAATATGCCCAAAAGCCACAGACAAAGTCTTCCAAGAAGAAGAAGAAACCAGGTAAGTCTTGGCAGACCCAGGCCAGGTGAGCATTTTCCATGTGCCAGGCATTGCCTTAAGCTCTTTTTAGACACTAATCTAATCTTCACATCAACACCAGGCAAAAGACTTTATTAACCCCATTATGCAGTTGAAACTGAAGCACAGAGAAGTGGGATAACTTACCCAAGGTCCCACAGCAGTAAGTGGCAGAGCCCTGACTCAGACCATCTTCTTCAGAATGACTCAGGGACACAGTGCAAACAACAGATTGTTATTTAAGACTGGAGGTGACACAAAGGGGGAAATGCAACCCTCCTGCATTGTGAGTACACAAGATAGACCTGTTCAACCAGTTCATTATATTGACCTCCCACCATGCCTCCAAGTGATCGTTTGTTCCTGCTTGGTCTCATCGTCTTCTTTCTTGTGTTTTTCCTGCAGACATTCATGCCCAGGAGAAGGCTGCTTTGGGTCCCTTTGGACCTTTCCTAAAAAAGGAGATCCCTATTCACTAGATGAGTTCCAGAAGCATCCACTAAGGCTCCCATAGAACCTCTTCCATCAGTTGACCTTCACCGTAACCCCTATCACGCAGGATGAGTGGCTTTCTTGCCTCCCTGGACCCCCGGCGGGTGCAGTGGGGGGCCGCCTGGTATGCCATGCACTCCAGGATCTTGCGCACCAAACCAGTGGAGTCCATGCTGGAGGGAACTGGGGCCACCACAGCCCATGGCACCAAGCTAGCTCAGGTGCTCACCACCATGGACCTCATCTCACTTGGCGTTGGCAGCTGTGTGGGCACAGGGATGTACGTGGTGTCTGGTCTGGTGGCCAAGGAAATGGCAGGACCTGGTGTCATTGTGTCCTTCATCATTGCAGCCGTTGCGTCCATATTATCAGGTAAGTGTCTCAATACAGTCGAAGGCCTGTGGAAAGTCTGTTACTGCTCACCCGCTCCTCTAGAATATTTAGTGATGAAATATATGAAGTGTCAACAAAGGAGTCATCACACTCTTTTCTTGCCTTGACTGCCAGGGAGTTCAAGACTCAACTGTAGTAGCTTCCTTTTTCTTTTTTCTTTGGTTTTTCGATACAAATAATTATTCTGGTGTCTGACCACCTCCCACCTTCTCATTCCCTGTCATGTCTTAATGGCTCCATTTTTATCATAACTCTCCCTTTTAAATGGAAGATAGGTTAATCCCTTTGTGGGAATACATATAATACATATGTATAATATATAATATTATATTATATATATAATATAATACATAAAGGCTAGGCAGAGTAGCAAAATGACAAGTCACTAAATCTGATATAATTGGGATTTGATGAGCCAAAAACTGGCATTGTGACCCCCAAGCAGAAGGAAACCAAGCTAGGAAATGTAAAGCCATCGTGAGAATCACAAAGCACCATCTGCCATAAGCACTTCAACAGATTGTATTCTACAGGGGTAGTTCAACCAGTGCCGTCTCTCTCCTTGGGAAAGAAGCATAAAACTCATTTTATGAGTTTTCTATATATTATTATTGTATATATATATATTGATAATTTGTGAAACAACTCTCCTATTTTCCCTTTCCTCTTCCCTCGTTTTCTCTTGAGATGGGATCCACAGTATCTTCCCAGGAATAGGTCAATAGATAATAACTTGAAAAAGAAGGAAAAAGAACACATCCTGCTTCTTGAGCATTGTATTGCAAAAGGATGACATTTTGCTGGGTTTTTGGTGGCAGATCATGTGGGTCAGCTCGTGTCCTGACAGGGAACGTGATGGCTTCATCCAGTGCCTCAGAAGCAAGAATGCTAGCATATATCATATATCAGGATTCCTGTGTACGAATGCACACTATCACAAGAAGAGTCCTACATGAATATTGTCTATCCAGACTAGCCTTCTTCCACGGGGGATGCACAGCCTAGGAACACACAACCAGAAAGTGCACCAGTTTATATTTGACATCTTTTTAACTTAATGAGGGAAGTAATTCCAGACTGATTTTATTTATCTCTTGTCAAAGTTTACTTCCCTGTTGGTTGTACAACTATCCATTTTCCTGAAGTCATCTCTAAGATGCATGAATAGCCTAATAATTGAGGTTCCTTCAGAAAAGAGGACTCTTTTCTTACAGATGAAAATACATTATTCACATGGATGAATTCTGTGGATACTTCAAAAGCTGTTAACCCGATTGCAATCATTTTCATGCTTATTGGCAAAGAAACTATTTGGAGGGAAGTGCCAGATTCTTACTCACTATAAATTTATAGATCGAGAAGTGTTAGCATATAGAACAAATTAGTGATAGTAGGACAAAAGACAGACATATAACCAGGGGTCCCACCGAAGGTACAGGGCAGACGGCTGAGTCCTGCACAGTTAATGCAGATGGCCCAGTCTCCTCTGGATCCATTCTGTTATGGCCCTGTCCCCCTCTCCACAGTGAGTACTGCAAACAAATCACCCACATCTTATCCTTCACATTGCTACATTGTATCTAGAAAGCAGAACAAGGCTCAGTTGCATTCTGGGAAGCTGTCCCCCTGCCAAGGTGCTCATGGCACTATATAACCCAGACTTTTCTGCTGCTTATATGGAGGACCCAAGACTGACCCAGCCAGTGCTGTGCTGGGACCAGCTTGCACCAGCTGCCAAGAGCCCTAATTGTGCACACCTTTCCCCAACTTTCCTTTGTTACCTTGAAATTGGCTATGGTAAGAGTATTTACACCACAAAAAACGGCAAATGCTCCAAACAGAGTTTGGTGTGTTGGTTGGTTGGTTTCAGAGAGTCCGTCGTTAAGCATTTACCAGGACACCACTGGCCCAGCTCTACTTGAAGGTCCTGGAACTGCCCAGTAACTGGTGCTTTCACCACTGCGCCAGGCACCAAAAGAAAACCCTACCTCTCTCTCAGTCAGGGACACCCCCCTTCCACATGTGGCTTCATCCGTACACTTCTCTACACTCTGTGACTGAGGCCAGCCAGCATTCTCTGATAGCCCCCAGCCAGAGCCCAGGCCAAAGGTAGAGTATTTATAACAGAAGACTCCAACCAGGCCTCTCATTCTATGATCCTTTGTCACTGAATGAAGGGAAGGCCCCTCTGCTGTCTTTTTTCCACTCCCATATCATCATCCCTGTAATTGCATCTCCTCTGACCAAATTCCCTCCACTTCTCCATTTCTCCATATCACGATAATCGAACTCTCTTGTATCTTCAGACTTTTTAATACATGTTCCTCTCTCCTTCTGGCCTTACCAAAACCTGGCTCAACCCTGAAGACACCATTGAAAATACCAAGAAAGTGCACTAGGGGGATAGATGTGAAGCCAAAAAGCGGGATGTTTGAAATTAATGGAGATTTCAGAAGGGGTACTGTAATCAGCGATGTTAAGGTTAGACTTGGAACCTGGCTCTGCCACTCAACCTGTGGCTGTGAGACCTTGAGCAAATTCCATAACTTCTCTAAGCCTCAGTTTCTCCACCTTGAAAGTGGTCATAATGATATCTCCTTCACAGAGTTGCTGTGAAGATCAGAGATGCCTGGGAGTGCTGCTGTAATGCCCGGCACATAGCGCTACATAAGCGGTTATGATTACTGTGCGCCAAACCCTGTATTTGGAGCTTGTACGTTAGCACATTTAAGACTCGTAACATCTCTGCGCCACGCCTGGGTGGTGCAGTCGGTTGAGCATCAGACTCTTGGCTTTGGCTCAGGTCATGATCTCAGGGTCGTGAGATCAAGTCCCACGTCATGTCGGGCTCCACCCTCAATGCGGAGTCTGCCTGAGAGTCTCTCCCTCTCCCTCTGCCCTTCCCACTGGTCCACTCTCTCTCTAAAATAAATAGATAAATCTTTAAAACAAAAAAAAGATTCATAATATCTCTTCAAGGTAGGTTTTATTATCTCCAGTTGTACATATAAGAAAACTGAAGTTTTAATACCAGAACCTAGATTCAAATTTGTTATACCAACATCTGTCAACGCTGACTATGAATTTAAATTACTTGGGGAAGTTTTTTTTTCTAAAGAATGGTTTGGGGGAGAGAAGTCAGCTTTACTGAGTTATAATTACATACAGTAAAATGTATTCTTTTAAATATACAACTTTATGAGCTTGACCAACACATACAATTTATGTAACCTCCACCACAATCAAGATACAGAAGAGTCCCAACAGCCCCAAATAATTCCTTCATGATACCTTTTGCAATTCTCCTCACCTCCACCCCCACCCCCTGGCAACCACTAATCTGTGTTCTGTCCCTCTACTTTTGCCCTTTCCAGAATGTTATATACATGGAATCATTCAGTATATAATCTTTTGAGTTTGGTTTCTTTCACTTAGTATGATGCATTTAAGATTCATTCATATTGTATATATCAGTGGGTCGTTCCATTTTATTTTTGAGTAGTATCCCATTGCGTGGATATACTACAGTTTATTTATCCATTTAGTAGTTGAATGTTGAATTGAGTTGGTTCCAGCTTGGGGTCGTTATAAATAAAGCCATTACAAATATTTATATACAGGTTTTTGTGTGAACACAAGTTGTCAGTTCTCTTGAGCAAATACCTAGGAGTGGAATTGTCAGACTGTGTGGTAAGTGTAGGTTTAACTTTATAATAAACTGCTAAACTCTTTTCCAAAGTGACTGTATTATTTTTCATTCCCATCAGCCATACCTGAGAATTCCAGTTGTTCTGTTCCTTGCTAGCCCTCAGAATTGTCAGGTGTTGCTTTTTGTTGTTGCTTTGTTTGTTTGCCACTTTAAAAGGTGTACAATAATATTTCAATGTGGTTTTCACTGTCATTTCCCTAATTGCTAATATTTTGAGCATCTTTTTATGTGTTTATTTGCCATCATTTTCTTCGGTGAAGTGTTCAAATCTTTGCCCATTCTTTAATTGGGTTCTTCATTTTCTTATTATTAACTTTTAAGATTTTCTTATATATTCTGGATATAGTTCCATTATACATATGTGATTTTGTAAATATTTTCTCCCCTTTTGTGGCTCATCTTTTAGTTTTCTTTTAATTCCTGTATATTTCCTTTTTAAAATGTTGATGCCCAGGCCCTACCCCCAGAGATTCTCAGTTGGACTGGGGTCAAACCCAGGGAATGATATTTTTTTAAGAGCCTCAGAGGATTTGAGTGTGCAGCCAGGGTTAAGAACTACTCTATCATTGGGACCAAAACTTAACTCCTGCTTCAGCTATGACCTACAAAAAGAGAAAGCATATGTTAGGATATAAATTATTTGGCCAACAGATTCTTAAGAGATTTTCTTGGCCCTGTGGCATCATCCCCTATGCCAGGCAAACTCGCTTATACCATGAAACAAATCTAAGAGAGAGAGCCACTTCCTCTACAATTTGACAAGAGCCAAATTTACAGGAACCTCCCAAGCTCCTCCTACCAGTCATGTCCCAACACCATACCACCCACAGCCCTATTGCAGGTGGAGGGAAACTTATTAGAGGAAGCAGTTTGTGCTATAAGCTTTACCCTCTGGCCATAAGGTTTTATCTACTCTTTAATAGTTCAGCAGGCCACAACCAGACCCCATGCCCATACCAAACCTAAAAAACTCTTTGAATACACCAGATTAAATAAACGAGATAGGGGAAATTGTTTTCCTTCCTGGTTCCCACCTACCACCATGTTGAGAGACTGAGGAACGGAAGCAGAATGGCTTCCAGAGGTTGTCTAATTCTGTTGACTCAGGAAGAAACACAGAGCAAAGCCACCATGCCAGTGACATCTGGCCACTCAAAGCCCTAAGAGCCTCCTAGGAACTTGAGTGAGGATGCCTGCTTTGACTTTTTACCCTAAGTGTATTTCCAGTTCTCTTTTAATATTACCAAATTTGAACCTTAAATAGAATGTA